CTGCACAATGACATATACTACTGATTGGTTTATATGAGTAGGTATTAACCACTCATATTAACCAGTAGTGGTAGCCAGATCGAAATGATCTAAACATTTGATAGTCAATTATTTTTGTTTGGGATCGCGTTGATCTACCAACTAACCGATTAGACTCAGCTTAGAGAGGTAAATCAGTCGACATCATACGAATTCTTGCTAACCACTTGGTGAGACTTTTTATTACCCTTATGTATTTTAACGACCATTCGCATCTCTCTCTAAGTGACTGGCCATGAACCACACTATGGATCACTATGTACTAACACATGCTCAATAAGCCAATCTAAACTAGGTAAGTACCTTACTGCTGTCAACTCCAACTGCATTTATAAATTCACATACACTTACGATAGAGAGTACGTTGGAAGGACAGAAAGAAAGGCTTCTGTCCAGTTTTCTAAGCATATTCCAAGGAACTTTTAATTCTTTCGGAATATCAAATATGCAGGGAGTGTCAAATTTACTACGATTTGTCGAAGTCACTGTAATCAAACATTTTCATACATATAGAAACAGAGTGAGATGATCAATCTCTCACTTGGTTGCTAACTTCAGTTTGGTTTCGATTATGTCGGCTGCATAATCATCCATTTTAGTGATTTCAGCTCACTAAGCTGATTGCAGTATTGCGAACTATAAACTTCCTCACTTGTCACCTAACGTCATAAGCTAATAGTTTTTATTCCCTCTGTATTTTGCCTCCCTTGTTTTCTTCTTCGACATGTACATAAACTGAGGATGACTTGAATTGACAATGGTGTACTGTTTATATTTTCGACGCCTTGATTCATATCATTTTCTCTCCTTTCATTTAAACATGTGTGCTATTCGAATCGCTTGTCAGCTAGATATATCTTCATCCCCAGGGGATAATGGTATTCAATCTAGGACTCTAACACCGTGCCAATCCATTCAAACACCGAATCATTACCCAACAATCCATTTAGATCGCCTCTTGTTTGCTCGGTATCAGTTATGACTTGATTCTAGGTTGATGTTCATTTCCCGTTGATTAGTTATGCTGGATTAAAATTCTCAGTCTCTGTTGACATACTGGCTCCTGGTATGGACGCTTCGACGATCTCTAAGCATGCTGTTCTTTAGAATGTTCTGACAATAACTCTAAGCTAATGTGATTCGTTTCCAGCTACTCATACCAGTCAATAAGTAGTATATAGCGTCAAGAATTTAAACATTCAGAGTTAATGCTTAACTCGATGTTTCTTTTCACAAGGAAATTAGCCTTTTTGAACATAATTGGTCAATGTGAGGTAGATTAAGGTTTCTTATAATTTCATATCAAATTAATAATCCCCATTGAGACATCAAAACAAAGAATTAAGCGAAGAAAATTTTCTTTTTCGACGATTTCATTTTCATAGCTGTACAATTCTATACATCAGTATTATCGCACTTTAGTATTTCCACTTACTGTCACAGTTGTTCAGATATATGAATGAATGACTAAATAAATAGAGGTCAATCCAAAGTTCAATAGACATGTCTGAAATAGATGACAGGGAAATAAAGTCAATTCAGAAATGTAAATAACGTGAATATGATATGATGGAGACATAATATGAGTGAAATGTTGTCAAAACAGTAGACTAAATAAAATCTTAGAATATGATAACATTAAGTGAAATAAAATAGAATAAAAATGGAACATGAAATAAAGAAGGATAAGAAATTTTTTTAAAATGTGAATTACATCGTAAAATTAAAACCATGGTAGCGAAAGAGATCATACAAATTGTTTTTGTACACAAAGTTTTGGCTTTATGTTATTTATTGTCAAATTCTCGGCTATACACAAGCAAATGCACCCGTGTCTCTTTCAGCAAACTTTGTCGAACTATGTAGACTATATTAAACGATGTGTCAAATACTGTGTGGTGAGTGTCTGTAATATGCTGCGATTTCGATGAATTAATACATCTACGCTCTCCTCTTTTCAGACGAACTGGGAGGTGCTTTCGAACGCGGCGAGATATATTAGTAAATAGCTCTTAAAGAGCAGGTGAATATAAATATATTTATATATATATATATATATACATAAAATTAGACAATAGCGGTAACATATCCTTGATATTAAGGTGAACCAGTGAAAGGCCAGAGTAGGTTATTTGTTAAGTGTCAGCAAAGAACTTTTTCTCAGTGATCTCATCAGGTGATTTTTAAGTATCGCACTTGCAGTGTCGCCTATAAATTCTAAGTTTAGTTGCAACATTTTTTCAGCTACCTTGTCAGTCTGTGTATTTCTTCCACGTAATTTGCTATTGGCCTTTACGAGGCGTAGTAGATACCCGTTCTCTATGAAGGTTTCTTTCAGTTGTTTGAGTTCATCATCAACACTATCCTCTCTACAAATTCTGCACACACGTGTTGAGAGAGAACGGATGAGATTCCTTTTCTGTCTATGGCGAAAAAAATGTAAAAATTGGTCAGTTGTCCTCTTCACGTGGATTTTCTGTGAACAAATCTTTCCAAATAGGCGTCAACTTTCCCTGTGAAAGATATTTTTCTTTCAGCTTCTTTTTCGAAGGTGAAGTGTATAGCAGAATGACTGTCGTTGAATACTCTCAGGATGTCATCCATATCTCACTTCTCGTCGCATGTAATGAACGTGCCATCCACGTATCGCTTGTAGAAGTGAAGTTCTTTTATATCAGGTGTGAGAGTAACGCTGTCCATACTAACTAAAAAGAAGTCTGCCAGCAATGGGCCAGGTGGCAGCTGCATAGCTACTCCATTTCCATGTCTATAGATTTCATTGTTGTAGAGAAGTTGGAAATTTAGAGTGAACCGAAGTATGAGCTCTTTCAGGTATGCCGTGGACATTCCTATTTTCACATAGTGTCAATCTATGTAATTACAAATGAAGCATAAAGTTTTATTTAATGGAACATTGGTAAAAAGTGAGCATACATCAGGTGATAACAGTTTCCTCAATAACATACATATCACCAACGCAATTAACAAATTCAATGACGTCATATAAGGAATAAGTAAATACTTGCCTTCTTAAAGGTTTCAAGAGTTCCGCTATGCCCTTCGCGACAAAATGATACGGTGAACCTGACATGTCTAAAATGGGACATATGGCTAATCCAGATTTATAGATTTTCGGCAAGTCATAGAGTCGACGAATGATTGATTGAGCAGGTCTTATCCTTTCATATAGCTTAGTTGTCAATATTGAATCATTCTTCATTCATTTCAGAACCTGTGTGATTTTCTCCCCTGTCATTTCTGTCTCGTTTCTCCCACGTTCAGGTTTCTGGAATTTTGTCTCACCTGACAAGATGGATTGTGTTTTCTAAATATGATCTTTCTGATCTATAATTGCGATCCCCGCACCTTTATCTGGTCGTGTTAGTAGGATATTCCCATTTTTGTTCAACTCATTCAACTGAATCAAACATTTCTTTGAGAGATATGCTGGAGCAGTTTCGGTTTTGATTTCATGAACTCATATCTTGAAACATACATACGTGGATTGGCAGATTTAAATATTGGCAATGGAATAATGCGAATGCACCAATGAATTTGTACGCTAATGCACATCAATTTAGTGACACCAGGTGAAAGATTGTTTGTTCGTAGAAAAATGATGAAAAAAGTCTAAGGATATCAGTGTGATGCTTACTAGTGACTGGCCTTATTCAGGTAGGTAGTTATCTGGGTTCTAGTGGGAAGTCATGACCAGTGGAGTACAGCAGATTGGGTATGAAGACAAGTCCGGGTTGATGACATTCGCTAGTGGTGGCTCCATATTGTGAATTAGCAAAAGTTGGAATTCATGGACCGGGTCCCTGTGGGTTAATTGTTTATGTGCATGCATTGTAACCAGAAGGTTCTGGATCCGAGCCCTGGCGGTGGGTACGTGCTGTGAGGAATCCTAAACTAGGAAGAAAAAGCTGTCAAGAACTCCCAGGTGGTTTTCAATGCGTCGTGTAACCAACGTCAGTTCACGATGTAATTCTGATATCAAAAAGGATATCTGGATGGTTTATAGTTAGGGTTATGGTGGGAACAGCTCAGGAGTAGGTTGATGTGAAGATCAGAGGTGTTTAGGGTTAGATTAGAGTGGATTTAGGGAAAGATGAGGATTAGGATTAGGCAAGGGATAGATTAGGGTTAGTTATGGAAACATTAAGGTTAGGATTGAGTAAACGACCTGAATATGCCTTTTAAAATCAATTAAGGTTATTTTAAGGGCACTTTGCCTGTGAAATGCAGTAAGATAGAAAACCAGGGAAATGAACTACTGTCAATAGAAAATAAAGTAAAAAGAAAAATTTAAAAGAATAAAGTAAACAAAGACATAACGTGTTGTTTAGGAATCATAAATTCTATTGAAGACTTTCGATCACTGAACATCCAGGCTACAATTCGATCACATTTACCTTCCACCCATTGGATAAGATTTCGATCTATAAGTGAATCACACAAATGGTTATTGCAGAAGAGTTTCAAACCATATCGAGAAAACAGCTATCCAGTGCCCTTTAGATTTCCAATAATTCCCTAACCGATCCCCGGTTTCCCTAAAAAACCAACCATTGAAACCAATCAATCAAACAAATTTTCACATAAAACACTAAATTTTGATTGAATACATTATTATTTTTCCCCAGATTTTTGAACAACATTTTCATGACATCTTCACCAAGTGGACAAAATGGAAGGAATTAATATTACACTCTATTTTTACAGCTGTATGTTGTTACCGGTAAAAACAAATTTCGTTTATTTCCTGTCTGTTACCTGTTGAATAAATCCCAGTACATATCTGTCAGTCATTGATGAGTGAATGAAAAAAACAAAATAACCGAACACTTGTTCTTGTTGACGTTACTGGCCTGTTTTCCTCCATTCAACTCTATTAAACTATAAATGCACAAATAGAATGAATTCACTAAACTGCTTTTTCACCAGCGTGTGTGTCTGTTTGTGGGTAAAATGCTCCTAATAAGCATTACTTTCAAACTTTTAATTCCACTGATACTTGGAAGTCAAGTTGATATATCGAAATATAAAGCAGTTCTTCTTCACAGACATAATTTTATCAGACAGTTAGCAAATAAATGTGAACGCACGTATATTCCACCACCAGAGAAGGAATTGACAGATTTAGTAAGTCTCAACTTTTAGAGCTGTTCTTTTTTATATTTTAATTTATAAGAATATTCCGTTTCATGACATGATTCGAATCAGTAACCTCTGAATTACTGGTTTGGAAGTCTTACTCTCCTGTTCGGTGTTATCATACCAACTGCTCAATCAGACCTTCTCATGTCAGAAAAGAAGGAGCATACTATTAAATTCCTTTGAGACGGTCACAAATATACTCTCAGTTTAACATACTGACTACTGGTCCGAATTTCGGTGTAACCTAGATCGTAATTTAACCTTCACTTGTCACGTACTTATTACCCACAGCTATATATAAATTTCATCAATAATTGTTGTGAATATTCCCCCCCCCCACCTTTTTACAGATATGGGATGATGGGTTGGCTATCACTGCTCAAATGTATGCTAAAACGTGCAGAAATATTATTGGTACCCCACTTGAAAGAACTACTTGCAAGTGGAAGTCAGTTGGTCAAAATGTTGCTGAGGTTGATGAAATTAGAAAGTAAGCTAAATATTTTTTTCTTTTTGTTTCATATAAAACTTGTGATTTTTTCTCTTTTTAATTTAGTGCCCCCGTGATATGGAGAGATGGTTCTCGATATTATGACTATAAAGAGGATCAATGCACAAAAGAAAATGATGAGTATTATTGTGATAGCTTCAAACAGGTAAGTTGGTTATTGCTATTATGGAGTTGTTCAACAGCATGTTGCCATTTCACTGTGTTCACTCATATCCAACTCGCTGTTTCCCATTCAGATCCACTTGTGATTCTGGCACCCTATGTCACTCAATAGCCTTTACAGCGTGTGTTTGATCTAACTCCATTTCCTATAGCATATCTGTCGGAAAAAACGTCCTTGGTTGGTTGGTTGGTTTCTAGAGTTGCCTGCTGCTTATCCTTTACGGCTAGCTATCCGATTAATCTTCAGTATGGAGCGCAGACAGCTATTGTTGTTCCTGTTGCAGTAGCCTGTTATAAATGTTTCTTTTGATGCGCCAAATCTGTGAATCATGCAGAATAATAATCAACTTGATATTGGTACTGAAAACCCAAATCTTGTTTCTTACGTTGATTGTGGCGAATTTCCACTTAGATTTCAGAGTAATGGAGGTCTGCCTTGCTTTTCCTATTCTGGCTATCTTTGACATCCTCACCCATGGTGCCTGTCTTTCTAGATAAATGAGGGAATTGATTTCCTTAGAATTTCCCACACTGATGATGATTGGTGACATTTGTGAAATCTTGAGTTGTAATTATTTTCAGCTCTTAAGTTTTGTAGAGATTTTGAATTATCCCAATGGTTTCCCTCTTCATGAAATTATAAATAAATAAATTAGAGAATCATTAAAAATCAGCAAGTCCTAAGCAACTGTTTCACTCTAGTTTGTGACTCTTCAGTAGTGAGCACCTTTGAACCAACTGGGAACTAGACCCGGAACCTTCAGGTGGCAAGACCAACTCGCTGGTCACTCAGTCACTGGATTAGAATTGACTGACCCATAAATTCTAACTTCTATCAATTCGTGAAATATCACTATCCATAACCAACTCCATCGACAAGATTCCTCCTTAACCTCCTACAGTGGATCCTACTGGCCAAAAATTCTCAGTAGAACTTCAGAATATCTATGCTACAGTTACCATCAATGAAATCTAGACTGATGTTTTGACTTTAAGTTTTGTAGAGATTTTCATCAACTTCAATGTAGATTTGAATCCCTCTCTTAGGGAGTTATGGGTGCGCACTGCTGAAGATTTTCCAAACTGGGATGGAATAGTTGTTCATTACTCCTTAGTTTTCTAATACCCCGGTTTGTGACGAAACATATATATATATATTGTTAATTTGATGTCAAAAACAGTTTTAAAAAATTCTTCGCAAATAATTTAATTTTTAGATGATTTTCGCCAATACAACGCATATAGGCTGTGGTGCACATTTATGTAATGAAGACGTCGATTCAAAAAAGTACATAGTCGTTTGCAACTATGCACTAGCGTAAGTTGTGTCTGTTTGTTCTGTTTCGTTTTGTTTATTTTTGCTTTTTTTCAATTTCCTTATTAGTAATTTAAATATCTCCATTGTGTATATACAGAAGGCGAATAATTAGGAATCAACAAGCATTTTCAATAACTACTTCTTCGTGATATCGAGAGAGATTTATAGTTCGTGTGGATATTCTTGATGTGGTTGTGTACTCTGAGGTGGGAGGTTGAAGTGAGAGGCTTTCATTTTCCGTCTACACTTTATCTTCTTGATGTTCATGTTGTCGAGGGTACCACTGATAACAATTTATAGGTAGCGAAATGTATTGGTGGTGTCTTGCACAAGAATTGCGAACAGTGGAGCAATAGATCAAGTTAAAAATGGGGGAAGAATGAAGTTAATTGTAAGGAAGCATAGAAAGCATGAAATAACGACAAAAGAGACAGAATACAAAGTTTCAATTTGAGGTTTTTTATAAGTGTAAGGTTGGCAGCATTTGATAGCGGCGTTGTTTATTTGGAAAAATAACACATGATAGTGGTTAAATATAAAAACTTTATATTGAAACTTCAATCTACAAAATGTACTTGTATTCTGCTCTCCTTTTATTATCTTCATTTGATGCTTTCTATACTGTCTTACAGTTATCTTCGTTTCTCTTCCTCACAGCTTAATCTGTGACACAGTTATTCGAAATTCTTTTGGAAGACTTCACACACAAACACACTTTACTACTTACAGTGTTAGCATTCACACAGTTGCAGTAAACGGCGAATTAAAATTATATTGAATACTGTATTGTGGTATGTGTGTAAAGCGGGACTATGTTTTCGAGCTATCGCTTGCAGTCAGTGGTGTGACGCCCAATGTGGTCACTGCAGGGAAATTAACTAACGAATAGAGCGCCATTGGAAGTGCTCTAAATGATGTACAGAGAACTTTTCATCATATTTGGTAGAACAGTATAGTTAAGCAGTTTGTAGGAAATTATTTCACATGATGAATGTCTTTTGTCATGAAGTGAAATAGGTTAAAGTTACAGTGCTGACTGATGAAGAGCCGTAAACAACAGAATTAAGAAACCGTTAAAAATGAGAGAGAGAAAATATTTTTCTTTAAAACTATTTCATTCTGTAGATTGGTCACATGTTGAGAAGACCCTCTTTGACTGATATCTTACTCCAGTCCCTCGAGTGGAACACAAATAAGGAGTGACGAATTGGTTCTAGTTCTGAGGGTAGACTGGAGGAGGTCGTGTGAGAAGGGGATGAAGGCATATGGGCTATTGTGGGACCAGCTGAAAAATACTTCCGGGAAAGAAAGATTTCCTGCTGAATCTCTATTTTCCACTTGGAACCCAAAGGAATAATAATAGTAGTATAAATAATAATTTCATTCCTGTTTCCAAACACTTTAGAAATATCCACTCTTGATGAAGCGAAATGTTTGAAAAGGTTACTACTAGGACGCCCGAATGCAATTACTTTGCTTATGAGAAAAATTCTTTAGTAAATTCGATATTACGGCATTAGCATTGCTTGAAATCACTGATTTTGACTCAGATAATACCAGGTTGAATTTCATCTGCCTAACTTAGGCTTTTATCTTTATTCATTATTTTGACTTTCATATGTCTTAATGGATTTCTAACCCCACTACTAGTCAGTACTAGTCTATATTCATACTTCCTGTTTTCTAAACTTAATCTTTACATGGTTGTCAGTTAGCGTTTTTATTTAGCCAAGCACAAACACAGTTGTAATGATAATAATTTACATTATGTGAATCATGATTATTTTATCTTTAATCAACGTTTTTTTCTCTTGCAAACAGGTATCCTTCCTATAACAGTGGACATAAGTAGTGGGTAGTATAAGATTTAGAAAAGCAGTGATAGTGTTTTACACACCACTTGAAAAACTACTGTGAAAGAAATATGGAATAGAAGCTTGACATTCTGAATAAAAGTGAATAAACTGTAGATACTGGAGGATCTCATAAATACTGGATCATTTCCAGTAATGCTTCGCATAGATTTGATTTATTTTACGTCGGATCATGAAATGACATCAGTGGGATAACAACTGAAAACTTAGACGAGATCTGACAGCACATTAAATTTAATCTGCACCATATTAGTGACTGATTGAAGGATGGTGTGCTCAGAGTTTCAGGGGGAAGCACTGATTCGTGAAGTTCACCAAGTCAGGTGTGATTACAGGTACTTGCTGATAGCATTGGCTGCATGTGACGCTACATATCACGAAATGGCTGGAGTTAGAATCCATCAACCCTGGCATTCCATTCCAGAGTCTGAATGGTCAAGAGAATCGTGTAGTAATCTGAAAGTACTGGGTTCGATATCTTGTGGGTTCACTGCTGCGCGCTGCTGAAGAATCTCAAAATAGGCTGAAATAGCTATTAACCAGTAAACTCCTGGTTCTTAGTGGTTCTGTAAGTAATGTCAGCTCGCGATCTAACTGGAGAGATTCTACCTATGATGACTGATATCGATACGTCTGACGACATCACTGAAACTGAATAAATCTCCTCGATACTTCAATTATTATTCAGCTCATTTGAATATTTTGTTTATTCCTCTGAAGTGTATTCATCATCAATAGTCTTTTATATTTCTTTATCTACATGATTAGCGCTGATGGAAGACCGTATGCTGATGGAACAATAACTCGGTGCAAAATGTCACCTTCATGATGATAAAGAAGTCGATTATGGGTCATTGAGGTTTTCCCATTCATCATCTTCAAAACAACAATCTTTTTTGTCTTGCATATTCGGGGAAAATTTTGTCTAATTTTACTTGGTAAACACAATATTTATTGAGATTGCTAATAAATATTATTCTGGGCTAAATAGAAGAATTCTAAGTGTTGTTACTTTCTGTTGGCAAACCTGATTAGTTTTCACAGTGAGTGACAAAATGTTGACTGCTTTTGACTACCATTTATAAAAATGTATTTTCCTGCATTGGTTTGTGGGGATTTGATTGGTTGGTTACAGGATTTCATCATGAGCTGAAATCAGTTAGAGAACCATTGGAAAACCTGGAAGTACTGGACAGCTGTTTCGTCCCAGTCTGGGACTCTTCGGCAGCACGCACTCACCGGTAGTGACTAACAGTCGATTGGGATGCACCCATGATGTGTATTTTGTTCTAGTTGGAAGTCATCAACCTCAAAGGCCCATATCACACACATGAGTGGTAGTGCACATAAGTTTCAATAATAAGGAACTTTCTGTGCTATGGTTTAATATCAACCACTAGCAGTAAAGAAGGAAAACATTTTTTCCATTCAATTCAATGATAGTAAGAAGAAAGTATATGAAAGTCAAATAATAAGTATCAAAGATTTCATGGGGAAACTAGACACAAAGCATTTGGTTGAACAATATTATCTTTAATTAGATTTCTTTGGGCTTAAAGACATATATAACTTTAAACACCTGTATAACGTATAATCGAGTCATGGTCCTCAATCAATAGGACGGTAAGTTGTGCTGTGAACTATTCACAAAGTCATGATAACAATAATTTTCATAATAATAGTGCATAGTCATGAAATATGCAGTGATAAGCATAGTGAATATAGAATTAAACTGGTCATTTACAAATTATACACTATGAGGAGAGAATTCTACCATGGAAACACGAAATATTCAGATCATAATGGCTGATCTGCTTGGTACTCTAAACAGCAATCAAGAAAATAAATAACGTTGTACGATACAAAATACTGCTGATTATTCTGAACAAATGGAAGCCACCTAGATCAAGAAGTAGTGCTTACTAGGCGAAGTGAAATTTTCTAACCAATGGAGGGATATTTCAATTGAGAGTCTAAGCTCACCAGTGGTTTACTAATATAAGCTATGCTTATGGATCCTAATTAGTTCAAACCACCTAGTCAGCATTCATTTAGTTTGAACTGGTGAATTCAGTCATAGACCAACAGAGTGCCTACCCAGGGACCAAATTGCTCCAATCTATCCAGAGGCACTACTGTTTGTTGTGTAAAAATTCCAACTACTGAATGACATCAGTCAGCAGCATATATCATCTTGCAGTACTGACACGAGGGGTTGTTTCTTCTGCTGTCTGCCACTAGACATACTCTCTTTTGAGTTAAATTTATACTACTTATATCTAGTAAGTAGTATGAGTATGTCTGTAAATTCTTAAATTCACTCGACGCATCACTAATCTATTAGATGTGTAGTAATTATTTTCTTATAGTCGAACAATACTTGCTGTATATGCTTCATTTGTGTACCCTTTACTGTTGAACACTGTTTATCTGTATCCCTTTATTCTGTGTTTGGTATTCGCGCGCTAACTGAATAACACGTGGATCGTCTCTGACACAGCTCTGCTGTTTATACATATTGACATACAGTGACTGTGCTTTTTGACGACATTCAGCCACAAACAACTCACAACTGAGGTTTGTATATTATATTTCATATTTTAAGTTTAATATAGTACCATATTCTAGACACATCCTATTTTTTTGGATTTTACGCGTCACTCAATGTGTGATTTTAATACTCGTTCGATTATCGTCCCAAATTTCTTTTGGAAGGAATTCACAGCAGGATGGCTCTACTAACAAATTTTCGAAACAGGCCTAGTAGATCAGAACTCAGCAAACCGACAACAATTAGACTGCACAATGTCGAAATGCGAAGGAAAGAGGGAAATCCCATTTGAATGATATGTTAAGAATATGAAAGATGTAAAAGGTGCGGTAAGAAGGGAATTAAAATTATATAAGAGGATGCTGGTTGTCCGAATATTCCTTGAATGCACAGCCTATAAATGCCAGTTTTAGGGGCAAATATTCTTAACTATGTACAACAGGTGATATGCGATGGGATACGATCAATCACCTTAACTACTTTTGATTCGTCCACCAACTGGTCATTATTTAACCAGAGAGGTCAAAATCAAATTTTGAATATATTTTCCTAGAACTATTTGAGTGGATTTGTTTTAGATGTGGAGGAGTTCTCTCACCTAGGCGGTTTAATTGTGAGGCTTTCATTCTCTTTCTCTACACTACTTCTTCACCGTTCACTTAAAATGTGAAGTGAAAGCAGTTTAAAATTCTTTATGAATGATATCACTGTCTCTTCTGATTGTCCTAACCATAACTGCTTGTCTTCAGAAGTCTTCTTCATGGTGCTGATAAGTTCCTTAACTTCGTCCCTAACCGCTTTTGTCAATTGACTTGTTCTTTATTGATCATCAACGAAAAAATTGAATACCAATACAAATTAAAACAAGAATAAGAAAGCTTCTAAGGACAACTAATCATAGTCCGGGCAGTCAGAACAGATAGTTATATCATTTATGGAGAGTTCTGAAAAGAAATTCACTTCACATTGAAGTGAGCGCTGAAGATGTTGTGTAGGGGACGACTGAATACTAGGCAATTAAATTATCAGTCGAGATGAGCAGAACATGTGTTACACACTCTGAACAGCCGACTTCCTCGACAAGCAATGTTAGCTGACATAGGAGTGAGTTGAGTGTTGGTTTGATCCACATAAGGAATTGTAGCCTGCCCGACTAGGAGCCTCAGGATATGAGGAAGCGATGGTTGGCCGGTAAGCCGTTAGTGACACGGCTCAGAATCATTCCCAAAGATTTCTTTTAAGAAATCTGCAACGATAAAATGCTATCAAACTTTTGACTAACCAAACGAAATGTTTGAGCTAGACATAAAATCCAGAACACAGGATCTGTACAAAATACGGTCTTGTATTACATACAGAAAAATAAATAAGAATTGAAAACCTCTAATCGTTAAGTCTCTTAATCCGAATACCTTAACAACCACAGTCACCGTACTGTGTCAAAATCACCCATTTATCAAAATGTATAAGAAAAGATAAAAGAGTTCTCCACAAACCTAATCCAAAAGAAAATTAAACATGGCAATTAGGCGATGAAAATTACTACAAGCAAAATCGAATTTTATCATATTTAACGAATGCAGTCATGTGAAAATGTAACGCTATATTATAAGAGGTAAAACTTATACTACTTATTAATATAAAGTAGTATGAGACTGTGAAGGAAGAAAAATGACTACGTGTTCATAATTTACTGCTGAACCTCAATTTTGACAGTGATCCTGAGAAACATGTCTATATCAAATATACGTAACACGACTTTAAGGCAGCTACTCAAATCTCTCACTCACTTACCATGCATTCAGGCGCGCAGTTATCCAAAAAATTGCTGTACTAAAAAACTTCAGTACTGAACAGATGGTTATGTCACATCCTATACTGCATACGAATGTGATTAAGCTAGGGACAAACAAGATCTATTCGTAGCTCTGTTTTAGCGCACCTTGTAGACAGTGAGCATAAAATTGTCGTTTATACAGCATTTAAAGTTATTTATCACATCCTAATTAATCTTATTTTGTTCAACGAGTTTGTCTTCTATATACAGCTGAAGTCACTGAAATCCACCTGAAGAAGCCGAACCTGTGTGCTGAGAAAAAATTCGTACAGCCACTTTCCCTACCTTGCCCGTCTTCACATGAATGTAAAAACCTGACCATTTCTCTCCCCCTAAGTTTTTTCAAAAAATTATCACAAACTAAATTATTTTATTCTTATGACTACTTCATATTTAATTGTTCATTACGTAATCAACTTGAACGCTCACTTATTCCTAACTTACTCTTTATATACATATATATATATATATCACAGTGAAGCCAGAGATGAGGAACCAGTTAAAAAGTAAATATTTCTTCACTCAATTCGCTCACCATCTAAATGTCTAAATGTTTTATATTGAAGTAAATGCAAAACCTTGACGGCAACAAGCTGGATTCAGGAAAAGCTAATCATGTGGCAATCAAATTGCGAGTCTACGTATCTTAATCGAACAGAGAATAGAATTGCAGCCAAATCTCTATCCTAACTTCATCAACAGTGACAATGCCACTGAAGTAATCTGGAAACTCTCTCAACAATTAGGAGTGCATCAAACTTTTATCAACTTCATTCGATATATGTGTCCCATAGAAATGTGTTTTGAAAGATTTGATTTATTGATTGTCGAGAACTTTATGTTTTTGGTCTGATTGTTTTCAGATGGGGATTTCTCCCTCAATAATTTGTGGAATTTTCTGACTAGAGCATTTCTTGATTTTTTTTTAATGCTGTTGATTTGGCACTCTAAGAGCATAATCCTTGTTGGTGACTATCACCACTAATTTATATTTTAACTGATTGACTGCATTCCTGATATTGCGCAACGTTTTAACAGTTCTTTTGATTTCTTCCTTTGAGCAAAGTTTTTCAGTCTTTCTATTCTTCCTTTAACTTTGCCCTCTGGGATTGAATCTTGTAGACGTAGATATTTAGGGATGAATTCATTTTTCAGGCATGGAATGTTGAAAATGCGATGAATTTCGAATCTTGCCTCAGTTTCAAAAAGTCATATGGGTTCATTAATTAATCTTCGAACAGAGAGACCAAAAGTGAAAGTGTTATATGTGTGAGACGTGGGTATTATGGTGGCATTTAATTCCGTATTAGTTTGTTTATTCGATGTATCACAAAGTGAAACAGTATTATTTACTGGATGACACAGTTTCGAACACAATTTATTATTGTTTATAATCATATCAGTTGTAACCACACAATTACTTATCCCTTCCTATTTGTCG